AGGGTTTGTCAACTTCACACATACCAGTGTCACCTGGGAAGTAGGGACCTCAGTGACAAAATGCCTCCATCAGATGGCCTGCAGGCAAGTCTGTGGGACACTTTCTTGCCTAATGATTAATGTAGGAGGACTCAGCCCACGATGGGCCCTGGGTGGTATAAGAAAGCAGGCTGCGTAAGCCATGGAGAGCAAGCCAGTAAACAGCATCCTTCCATGGCCTCTGCATCAACTCCTGCCTCCAGCTTCCTGCCTTGAGTTCCCACCCTGACTTCCCTTCATAATGGGCTGGGACTGGGGCATGTAAGGCAAGTAAACCATATCCTCCCAAGATGCTTTTGGTCATTGGTTATTACAGCAATAGAATGCTACGACAGTCCCAAATGGAACACTCAGGGAGGGTGCCGCGGGGCACAGGAGGAGCCTTTGCACTGCCACCAAGTGCTCCTTGAATGTCTGTCTGAAAGGAATATACCACTCCACCTCTACAAAGGAAAACAAGTGACTGGGGCCCTCCGTTAGAGATCCGAGGGTGTCAACACCGCTGCTCACGCTCGGCGGCATTATTCCCGAGGAGGGATTATGGCATTTAGAGCCATTTTGTAACTAGCCCTCTATGCCCCTAAACTAGAAGAAGCCTTTGGTAAAAATTGGAACAATATGCTTATGTATAATTTTTATATTCAGGTTCCTGACCCTTCCTAAATCCATTTGTTGCAATAACTAATGGTGACAAAGTATATTTCCCCTGAGAATTTTTTCCCCCAACATTAGCTTTGCCTGTGACTCTCTCAAGCATTTCTAGGGTATCCAGGAGAGGTAGAATCCAGCAAAGAGCAGACACATGGAGCAATGATGGGCCCCTGAGTAAAGGGGGAGGCGACACTGTCCTCTTATTCCCAGAGCTCCCCTGACACCCAGGCCTGGAGTTTACCAGCAAGAACTATGATTGGTGCTGTTGTCGGGGTTTGCAATGAAGGAGCACTTCACAGTTTGTTTAAACTTTTATTATTCTGAGATTTATTTATTTAATATGCATGAGTATTTTGCTTGTGTATATGTATGTATATCACATGAATGCCTGGTGCCTGTGAAGGCCAGGAATGGATTCTGATACCCTCAATCTGGAGTTATGGGTGGTTGTGTGCCACCATGTGAGTGCTGGGAACCAAACCCAGGTTCTCTGAAAGAAGGAACCTGCCTCCCTTGTCTCGTTTTTTGATGCTGCGATTGGTTCCAGTGTCCCATGTGTACGAGGTGAATGGGTACCACTGAGCTATGCCTACCGACCCCCATGGTTGGTTTCATTTGCCCTAATTTCCTTTTTCCTGTATTTCTGTGAGTCTGCTTAGTTGTCCGATAGCTGACAGGCTAGAGAATTCATCCATTACAGAGAGAAGGGGCTAGAAAAACAGACATATCTCCTCGTTTTCCAGGGATAAAGACACCAGCCATGTACTTAAGGCATTCTTGGTGAAAAGCAGACGTCTGGTCTCCCCTGGGGCACCCTGGAAGGAGGGGTGGGGTCCTCTTCTGTGATGGCCCTGCCCTGCGGGTCGGGAGGAGGCTCAGGCGACACTAGTACCAAAGCCAGTTTGTTCCAACAACTATCACCCCTTCCTCTGTCACAAAAGGCTCATCCCTGCCCCCATTAGTCCCTCGTGATACACATTTAACCAACTGATGCAACTCAAGGTGATGTTTGTGGTTTCTCAGTTCAGCTGGGGACACAATGAGCAGTATTTGATATTTAAAGCAGCCACTAGGTGTGCTTAGTGTCAGACAAGGTGACGCCCTGAACACTAAGAATCAAGGCAAAGAAGGACTGGAAGGTAAACTTGACCACGGCATTTCCTAGTCAGCCCTTGGCTAGGGGGTGGGGTGGTCTAAGGTCAAGGACACAGGAGATTGGGTCTCACTGGGCGATGTAAAGCAAGGGATAAAATGGATATGTCTTACATCCTTAAGCCTAAGTTAGAAGAGAAATGGCTTATGTGATCATCTCAGTATTTTTCAGTTGAACAAATTTGTCACCTGTATTTATACTGGATTCCAGGATGTATCATAAGGTACAGTAACTCCAAGAATCGGGAGCCACTGGTGGGCGTCAGGAGGAAAGCGCTTGTCAACACAGCCCAAAGCCAAGGTTTGCCAGAATGAAACTGTGCTGAGAACTTCTCTGAAGCCTCCCTCTATCTCCCATGCCAGCTCAGGGGAGCCTGGGAGTGGTCTGAAGCAGAAGGGTGGCATTCATAAGCCTTTCTTCTATGTAGTATCTCTGACATATTTCAGGCGGCAGTCAGTTTGGGAGACAAGACTGTGGGGGGATGTTTCACAGAGAAAGAGTAGTCATGCTGATACTGGAGTTGGGCTCCAAAGCATCCCTCGTGGGGCAAGTATACCTCGTGGTATCCACCTCATGGGGGTGCTGTGGAAAACGGGGACAAGCCACACAGGGATGTAGAATGCTCACAGGAATGTAGGATGCTCACAGGAATGTAGGATGCTCATTTTTGCCTCACTGGCATTTGGCAGTGATGCGCTGACTTCCTGTCCCTGGAGACCTGCCATGACCCCAACGTTATTTTTCCTCCTCTCTAATGTTAGCATGCTGTTTACCGTTATTAGCTATTGACCTGGAGTCATAGTTCTGGGCTGGGTGTCGGCTGCAGGGGTGGACTGGGGATCCGCTTTGCAGAAAGCATACCCCTTGCATTCTGAGCCTGTAGTCACTCAGTAAGTGACTACTGAGCTTTGTAGTCACTGGCTTGACCTGAGAAGCACATTTCTTGGTGTCTCGCCCCAGCAGCAGCAGCATAAGCTTGGAAAATCTAAGCTGATGGCCACCTGGAAGCTTGAAACAACCTGCCACACCCATTTATTTTGAGGGCTCCCCAGTTGCCGCTTGAGCCAATACTGGCCAGAGCCTGTTCTTAGAAATGAAGTTTGATTGCCACTCAGCTGCTCTCATTCACATATATTTTATTTTTCATGCTACAATAGAAGCAACAGCAACATATTTGGATAAAATTTAAAACATGATGGACAAAGTTTAAAATATTTATTATCTAGCCCTTTTCAGAAGTTGGCTTACTCCTAGTCCAGAATCAGAAGAGACCGTGTTTTTATTTATTTACATTGGAGTAGCATTCAGAGTCCTAGAAAGCTCAAAGTGTTTGAGGCAAGGCAGAGCCTCGGGTTCTCCTTGCGAGGATGGTGAACCCGAGGCTGATGGATGGTGATGGATGCTAAGGGAGCCTGAAGGTCCTGCTGGAAAGGGGCTGAGGCTGTGTCTGAGCTGGTGTAGGCCCTTCTGGAGAGGAAAAAACTCGGCCATGAGTAATTTAGTCAAAAAGCACCATACTAGGCAGGAAAAGTACACACTTATGCTTTTCTTTCCCAAGGAGAAACAGAATGTAGGAATAGTTTGGCATTGCCACCAATGCCAGCACTTGGCTTTGGTGAGGGTGGGTCGTAGAAATAGCCTCACCAGGAGGCTTAACCACCATTCACACCGTGGCAGCAACGGACAACAGACGGGGAAAGCAAGTGTGGCTGCAGCGCCCGCTTTCCCTAAGGCTTCTATGCACTGGAGGTTGGCTGTGTGGGGCAGCACTGCGCCTAAGTTTCCAGCTTTGGGGAGCGGGGCATTTGCTCACACGAACAGTCAAAAGGCGAGCCAAAAATGTCCCAAACACTTTAACTGTTTCCTGGAGACGGTGCTGTAAAAAATGGCTCTGGGCATTTATGGAGAGATGCATGCAGCCCTTAGAGTGTGCTTTTTAAAGTCAGAGAATCTCGCACGCTTCATAACCTGTTACTTGCAGCTGTGGGCAATGAGTCCTCTTACACGAATCAGTCCAGAAGGGACTGTTGACAGGTTTGCTTACTCCCGCGAACCGGCTGTGGAAGAGCGTGCAAAACGAGTTTTCATAACTCAGATTATTTTGGAAGTGTGCAAGGCATTGGTTGCTCATGCTAAATCCTTCTATGGCTTATCAGCCAGTTGTGTGTAAACCTGGATTTTCAAGTGCTGAATGGCTTCAGAGCAAGGCATGCTGCTGTCTCACGCAGCTTGACAGCTGCCCTACAAAGTTACCACAGCCACTGGAAGCGGGGCTTTAGGGTTCCAGGTCTCTGGTCCCTGTGTGGCTGTCTGTGGGGAGCAAGGAAGCCATGCATTCTGTATTGTACACTGAGCTCTGACAGGAGTCACTTGGTGTCCTTGTCCTGTTCAACGTTTTGGCTTTCGTTATTTCACTTTTACAGTGTGAATGAACAATTAACTGTCAGGTCAACTCTGGCTGACTATGTTTTCTTTTTTTTTTTTAATTTCAAACATTCATTTGAAGCATTAAATTGTATAATTGAACATTCAAAAATAGATTTTATGAATTAAGTGTGTTGAAAATTTATTTCCATAAAATGTCAGGTTTTTTTTCTTTTTTCTTTTTTCTTTTTTCTCTGAGCCTTTAGAAATGTCACCTATCAGTTCTGGATAGGTGGCATGGCCAACTTGCTAACCATCTTCCAAGATAGATAATTAAGTCCTAGTCAGAGTTGGCAAAGGGGACCAAGGTCACCTTGTGAACAA